AAAAAAAAAAAAAAATCTTTAAGAATCTATATATAAAACATTGGGAGGGGTTCCCTCATAAACACTCAAATTATTTTAAGACTTTTAGAAAATTCTATAATTACACCAGTCGCAGTAATAAGATACTAGGTTTATCAAATCTAGTCATGATCTACATATGATCGTGGATAATATCGTTTCAAAAATATTTAGGTTACTGCAATTTCTTTAAATCTAGTTAAGAGCCTTAAAAGATATGTCGAGTCATCACTGTCACTGTTGAGGTCAATTCTCCAAGCCCAGTTTTTATCTCATTAGATCGAACATCAGCATGTCATTCCAGAATTCTAACATGAGCTGAACCCCCATATAAGGTTATATCAAGAAAACCCCTTATAATGTTGATGTGTTGTGTGTTTATCCTAGAAAGATACAAAGACAAACATTTCAAAAGTTGTAGCATATAATACATTACAACTCTAGCAAACTATAATTCTAGTCAAGAATCGAGGAAGTTTTCTAGATAGGAAAGATGCAAATAATGTATGTTTTTTTTTATTTCGTGGTACTGCTGCAGTATGATATCTTATTTATAAAATTCATCCTAGGCAATATAAATCTAGGTTGAGTTGTCACTTTAGGCAATCATTACCATCCACTAAGGCAAGTGCACTGAGTAAAAAAATGGCCATGTTGTTTTTTGTGTTAAAGCAACTCTAACTCAAGTGTTAAATCAGTTTGTCACAACTCAATTGTCTGGTAGAGTCACAATATCTATATACAATGTATCTAATGAGGCCATTGGTTAGAACCCCAAGGTTCAAACCTAACACTGCGTCAAACAAACTCATAGTCCAATTTCCCATGTTCAAGATCAAAGGCCAAACCACCCTCCGTCCAAAATTGTGCATGCATGCATGCTTGTGGTCTAAGCCCACACCTATACTTACACTTGAGTGCTATTTTTTAGTTTTTTAAATGGTAGAGTTGCATAAATTGAACACATAATTACTAACAAGGGAAACAACCAGATAAAGAAGCTACTTAATTGATACCCGTGGGAGGATAACCCTAGGAACAGCCTAAGCTAATACAACATATCCACAAGCTCCCAATAAGAGAATACAACTCTAAAAATGAGAATAAACACCACAAAAAACACAAAAAAACATTCAGAACACAAAGAAAAATACTAGATTAAGCCCTCCCCACCAGCTGACCGACAACACTAGACCCTAAGGCAGCGGCACCAAGCACGAAACTAGAAACTCCTAACCAACATCAGCTAACCAGATCCCGCCTGAATACCAACATACCCTTCCAACAACCACCTCCAGAAAACTCGAGTTACTAACATCAAACCGCACCCATACACACACCGATAACCACAACCCCCTCAACCGAAGATAGGGGTTGCCTCTATCGCTGTCGATGTAGCCCACCAATCCAAACACCAAAGATCGGGCGAACCTAGGCGCGAGCTTGACTTGAACCCCGACCCCAAAATGTTGCCAAAGCAACACTCGGAGCCGGCAGCGTAGGAAGAAGCAATGACTCGCCGGACCCCCTCATCCTCCGCCATGGCCACCGAGATCTCAGAGAGACGCCACACCAGAGGAGGGGCCGTCAAGATACTGGACCAAACATGACCAACCCGAATCAGGTTGAGAAAGCCGGGAAACGCCGGCAGGAGGGTGCCGCAAATGAGAATTGGCCGCCGAACGAGACGAAGGAATTGGGGATCTAGGGATTAGCCGAGAAGGCGCCACTGAACAGTATTTTCAACTTGTAAATACAATCTAAGTGCTAACTTCAATACCCATTAAATTGTGAAGTTCAATAATTAAGTTTAAAAAAAGATAAATATATTATGAGTGTCTACTCAAATTTTTGTACATAAGTTAATTCTACGTCAATTAAATTTGTAGCTATAAAAAATTCCAATCAAATCGGGCCATATCAATTTCTATATAGTTTTCTAACAAATGGGGTGATCACGTGGTGCATAATAAAATAGAATATAATAGTGTTTTGCATAATATGAATTATTATCTATCTATTGTGTAGATAATAGATAAATTATATATGAATTAAAATAAGATTAGTAATTTTTTGTTTGTCAAGCAGCGGCGGATACAGAAATTTTTATCAGCCAGAGCAATAAAAAATAAAAAAGTAATCGAAATTTTTTAATTCGTGTTTATTACATACGAACTTTACCTTCTGCAAGAAATTTTCCCATTCACATTCTTCTTCTCTCATTTTTTAGAGTTGTTTCGGTCGTGCTTGTTTATCAAAGTTCTTGAAAAAAAAAAGAAAAAAATCTATCTCAATTCAAAATCTAACTCGACTTTAACTCAATCTCACTAATCTTCAATATTATTAATATAATTAAATAATATTATTCAACTATTTTTACACATTACATCAACTTTAACTCACTATTCATCCACTCACATTGTTTAAGTACCTATCATTTTCAATCATATATCTCAAACTTTTACATCAAATCAATTCTAAGCGTTTTATTTTAAATATTATTATAATAAATTCTTAAATTTTTACTAACAACTAATCATATCAACTTTGTTCAAATAAACTCTAATTAACACCAAAAAGACGAGTGTGCAAGAGGTCGGTCGAAGAGCCAAATGAAGAATGGACGAGGAAGATCACGTTCCAAAGTCAAGCTTGAAAAAGACGAGTGTGCTTTTTGCCATGAGAAGGGACACTGGAAGAAAGTCTGTCCTAAGTTGAAGAAGAAGGGCAAATCTCCTCAAGATGCATATGTTGCTGAGGGTGGAAGTGAAGACTCATAATTTTCACTTGTGGTTTCACCTTCATCATCTCATACAGACGAATAAATTTTGGATTCAGGATGCACCTACCATATGTGTCCCATAAGGAATCGGTTCTTCAATTCTCAAGAGATCAATGGAGGGGTTGTCTATATGGGTAATGATAATGCTTGCAAGACAACTGTGATAGGTTTAATTCGTTTGAAGAATCGCGATGGTTCCACCAGAGTTTTGACGGATGTTCGGTACGTGCCGAGTTTGAAGAAAAACCTCATCTCATTAGGAGCCTTGGAATCCAAAGGCGTGGTAGTGACTTTGCGAGATGGAGGTATGAAGGCTACATCCGGCTTGCTCATGGTGATGAAAGGCATAAGGAGGAATAATTTGTATTACTACGAATGTGATACGATTGTTGGGACAGTAATAGTAGCAGATTCCACCAACAAGGAGTCTGAAGCAGTCAAGTTGTGGCATATGCGGTTGGGACATGTTGGTGAAATGTCCTTACAAACATTGGCAAAATAAGGACTGTTGAAAGATGTCAAAGTGTGCAAATTAGACTTTTGTGAGCATTGTGTTCTGGGAAAGCAGAAGAGAGTGAATTTTGGAACGGCTATCCATTAATACCGAAGGTGTCTTGGATTATGTTCATTCGGATGTTTGGGGACCATCTAAAACCTCGTCATTAGGCGAAAGACGCTATTTTGTCACTTTCATCTATGACTTTTCCAGGCGTGTTTGGGTGCACACTATGAGGACAAAGGATGAAGTGCTTGGTGTCTTCATTACATGGAAGACACAAATTGAAAACCAGACTGGAAGAAAGATCAAGGTCCTACGTACGGACAATGGTGGTGAATATACAAATGATCCCTTTCAAGAAGTTTGTCGTAAAAATGACATTGTTAGGCACTTTACCGTTAGACGGACACCACAACAAAATGGGGTGGTTGAGCACATGAATCGAACATTGGTGGAGAAAGTTCGATGTATGTTGTCCAATGCTGGTTTGGGCAAGAAGTACTGGGCTGAGGCTGTAACGTATGCGCAACACCTCGTAAATCGTTTGTTGTCATCTGCAAAAGATGGTAAAACATCGTTGAAGGTATGGTCGGGGAAACATGTTGCTGACTATGAATCTTTACATGTATTTGAGTGTCCTACGTTCTATCATGTGAAGGATTTAATGTTAGATCCAAGAGTGAAAAATGCTTTGTTCATGGGAATCACAATTGGCGTGAAGAGATATCGTCTTTTGTGTCTTGAGACGAACAAAACTGTGTTTAGCAGAGATGTTACATTTGATGAACAAGGTATGATGAAGACGATGCAAACCCAACAGGTGGAGTTGACACCGAAGCAGGTGGAGATAGATGCGATGACGAGACAACCAGCTATGATCGACGGACCAATATTAAAAGATTCGTCGGATGATGAAGTTCAGACTCAAGAATCGTTAGATTTACCCATTGCATTG